ACACCCACCTTTATATGTAGTTTTTGGACTTTTTTACCTTTTGATCTAACAGACTCATCTTGTATCTTCCCTGCCCCAGACTTAGTTTCATCCATTTCTCCAAAGAACCTTGGTCTTTTTTTTTTTTTTTACTGGAGATTGATATTTAAAACCCGAGATATAACTGCTGGGGTGTTTGTTGTTGTAGAGTTATGGGTTTTAGACCTTCTAAGTATAGTAACCCCTATATGCATCCATATCTTATCTGCTAATCTGTACATATGTATGATCATGAGTTCATACTGGTGTCTCTAATTGTAATCCAGCCCCACCTTCCCTTCTTGGTTATCTGTAACTTTCCATTTCCAACATTGAAAAACCTTGCACTCACCATCTACCATCTGTTTTGCTCATTTCAAGTGTAGATGTAAAATAGAGTTGAGAGATTCGTCAACAGGAACAAATGACCCACTACAGTAGAATGTAATGTGCTGCTCCATTTGTCTTTATCCTGAGTTTCTAATAAAAACACCATTGTCTAGTGTCACTTAGTACAGCTCTTTCCTCCTCACTGTCCTGCCCCTTCAGTGCAGTGATTCCTTACGTCTGCAAGACTCTCACTGCCATCCAGTCGATGCCGACCCAGCAACCCTGTGTTTATAACACTCTTAGGTGAATTTGTCACGGTCTATAGACATCCTGGTTTATTTTTTTTCCCCCATCCCATCCTTATTTTTTAGTTTGTCGTTGTTGGTAGGTGTTAAGTTGACTCTGATTCTTAGCAACCCTGTGTACAACTGAACAAAACACCGCCCAGTCCTGCGCCGTCCTCACAATGGCTGTTATATTTAAACCCAATCCATCTCTTTGTGGGTCTGTGACTTTTTGCAGGTCCCCTGCTTTTACCAAGAGTGATGTCCTTTATTCAGGGAGTGGTCTTTCCTGATAACATGTCCAAATGTCTTGCCAGTTTCATTTCTATCATAGGACCAGATTTTTCAACTATTGTTCCTTCCTCTTTGTTTCCTACTCTCTTAATCCAATCACCAGTAATTATCAGTGCATCTTGATTGCGTGTGTGACTTTCAGATTGAAGAAGCTGGTAGAGTTCTTCAGTTTCTACATCATTGGCTTTAGTGATTG